CATTCTCTGTACACGCAAGAAATGTTATTTCTAGCACTACTCCTTCGTTATTCGATACTCCCATACGTATTTTGCTCCCGAAAAATCTTTGTTTTATGCGAAACAAGGGATAGTAGTTTTTCGTTTCGGCTGTCTAATAATCACAGACAACAAATGAACCCTTAAATGAAACAATAATAATGATATGATAGCAATCTTGTAACTTAGGGATAAAATATTAGTTGATAAATTTTCCTCTGTATGAGATATTTTCATCCTGAAAAGGCACCGTCTGGTGTGAATTATCCGCCTCTTGAGCCAAACATTTCGTTGCTGTCGAAAGCAGAGCAATTATTCATGTTTGATCCTTTCAAATTCGAACCAAACAAATTCTTTTTTGGCAATTTTCAACTAGCGATTTTGTTCGCCCCATTTTGTACGCGTCTCATTATTTATTCCCATTCTCTCTTCAGTCTGAATTTAAAGAAGACTGTTTATGCTACACTTCAAATTACTCAATGCAATCTGATCTCAATCCTCCACAAACATCGTTCTATATTCTATATTTCAGTAGTCCATCGATGTCGTTGCGCAATTGGAGCATGGGAAAAGTCCTCTTCGTTCATATTGAATCGACTATTCCCAGTCCCCATGAAATTAATTATCCAGTTTGTCCGCGTCATTTTATCCCTCGTCATGAGAATATTCTCAAAATACACGATGTTATTCATTTCCATGGATGATAATAACAGAATAAATAATGAGATGTTGGAGGAGTTTAAGCAATACTATTTTATCGTCAAATCGCGACGTTCGCGATAGTCACAATCAACTCTAGTAAACTCTGTGTCGAGTGTCCGTAACATATTGAATCATTAAAAATTACAAAAACGCCGACAACGGTACAAGGATTCGAAGCGACGCGTGTCGCGGGCTGTCAGTTATTCGCATTAAGCAGCATCATCATTCCCCTGGTAAAAACGATAACAAGTGGGATATTGCTTCCAATTTTTATCAATTATTGTACCTGTTTTGGTAATAAATTAGTAATATGCTTCCGAGTGGATAATAAGATCCCCATAAGACACCATAAGGCTCCCATAAGATTCTCATGAGACCCCCATAGGATACAACAATATTAGTCCAATGTTGGCGCAAGGTTGGCACAAGGTTGGCGCAAGGTTGGCCCAATGTTGGCGCATGGATTTTCGACTATAATTCGAAAACTGATAATGGCATCGAAACCACGTTCGAACTCGGTCTGGATAACATGAATACCAATATTTATAGCGCAAATTCAATCGATTTGGGCAATTGTTTTGTTAATCACATCGTATTTTGATTCCTGAGCCCAGAATTAGCTATCCTAACCCGAAAAATTAGAAAATGTAATTTTGGGAATACAATGCTTCCATTCGCAAGCAAAGAATGCTAACAGTCATCACAATGACTAGTTGAATGACGTTCCAATCTCTGCGACAGGAATTCGATTTTTATGTTCTTAGTCCAAGGTTGGCGCAAGGTTGGCACAAGGTTGGCGCGGGGTTGGCACAAGGTTGGCGCGGGGTTGGCGCAAGGTTGGCCCAATGTTGGCGCATGGTTTTTCGACTATAATTCGAAAACTGATAATGGCATCGAAACCACGTTCGAACTCGGTCTGGATAACATGAATACGAATATTTACAGTGCAAATTCAATCGATTTGGGCAATTGTTTTGTTAATCACATCATATTCTGATTCCTGAGCCCAGAATTAGCCATCCTAACCCGAAAAATTAGAAAATGTAATTTTGGGAATACAATGCTTCCATTCGCAAGCAAAGAATGCTAACAGTCATCGCAATGACTAGTTGAATGACGTTCCAATCTCTGCGACAGGAATTCGATTTTTATGTTCTTAGTCCAAGGTTGGCGCAAGGTTGGCACAAGGTTGGCGCGGGGTTGGCGCAGGGTTGGCGCAAGGTTGGCCCAATGTTGGCGCATGGTTTTTCGACTATAATTCGAAAACTGATAATGGCATCGAAACCACGTTCGAACTCGGTCTGGATAACATGAATACGAATATTTACAGTGCAAATTCAATCGATTTGGGCAATTGTTTTGTTAATCACATCATATTCTGATTCCTGAGCCCAGAATTAGCCATCCTAACCCGAAAAATTAGAAAATGTAATTTTGGGAATACAATGCTTCCATTCGCAAGCAAAGAATGCTAACAGTCATCGCAATGACTAGTTGAATGACGTTCCAATCTCTGCGACAGGAATTCGATTTTTATGTTCTTAGTCCAAGGTTGGCGCAAGGTTGGCACAAGGTTGGCGCGGGGTTGGCGCGGGGTTGGCGCAAGGTTGGCCCAATGTTGGCGCATGGTTTTTCGACTATAATTCGAAAACTGATAATGGCATCGAAACCACGTTCGAACTCGGTCTGGATAACATGAATACGAATATTTACAGTGCAAATTCAATCGATTTGGGCAATTGTTTTGTTAATCACATCATATTCTGATTCCTGAGCCCAGAATTAGCCATCCTAACCCGAAAAATTAGAAAATGTAATTTTGGGAATACAATGCTTCCATTCGCAAGCAAAGAATGCTAACAGTCATCACAATGACTAGTTGAATGACGTTCCAATCCCTGCGACAGGAATTCGATTTTTATGTTCTTAGAAAGGAATACCTCGATGGCTTCAGGAGGGTGAGTGGAGACGACGCCAACAGTGAAAGTATTTTCTAGTCGACTCACGTGCTTCGAGCTTCTAGAGTATATCACGCGGTCCACTACCGCAACCCAGCTCAGTACCATCTTCAACAGTCTTCTACCTCCTAGCTTATTCGAGGGTGTCGAAGGTGATTAGCGAATTGGTTCACTTAATAATTATATTCTACATCTGGCGCTGAGAGTTTACGAGTTCCCCCTCACAGCCGGGAACGCAGAATAAGTCAAAGTTGGAGGAATTTATAAGTGTGAAAATTGAGGAAAGATTGCACTCGGGGCGAGGGAAGAGTGAGTTGCAGGTGTTTGATAGGTAAATACACGAAAACTTTGAGGATGATTGAGGTTAATGGATGGAACGATGCATACGTTCGGTGCATGGCGATCTTCCATTGAATTAATTCGAGGGTTGAATCCAGAAAAATTTTTTATTATCACGTCAAGTCGATTTTGACTACTGACCAGTTTTTGACGAATATCTCGGAATCTAAAAGAGCTGGACAAATTTTTGTCATAACCTTTTTTGCAGAGGCAACTGAGGGCTATAAAAAAGGTCATGAGCAAAATTTTGCTATCTCTCTTGGATTCCGAGGAATTTATCAAAAAATGGCCAAAAGCCAAAATCGACTTTTCTGAATTTTCGTTACGTGTTTCATGTTATTGATAGAAAATTTTTTTTCGCCAAGCATTGGAACAATAAATTTATTTTCAAGGTCTCCATTACCGCCTCAAGTCAAGTAAACCATGAGTTGGATAAAATCGTAGAAATAATTCCTGTCGTCAGGTGGAATTTATCGTATTTTGCAAGTTGACAAATTATTTATATTATATATTTTTCGGGGAGTGGCGGGGGGCGGGGTGTCTGTGCTATCTCGTTTGACAGAACAGGTAAGGAAGGGTAAGACTCAACATTTCACGCTTGATGAAAAATCCCGGTGATTAAACAGACGCGATCTATTCTTGATTGAAGATAGATTGCGACGATTTAGTTTAATTAGTGTCGAGTCAACCGCTGTTGTACTGCGGCTGGAAATGAAAATACGAGAGAGCAATAACGGCAATTACTATTAAATTGTCATCTGGGAAAGGCAGTAGTCGGACGTGTTGAATTGGTCCTCTATTATCTCGGGAAGGCGGCACGATCAGGCGTCATCGTCTCCCACAAATGCCCTAGAATAACCGAAAAAAGGAAATAAATAACCCCCGTCCCTCAATTTCTATCCAAATACGCATGAAGCTAGCGAGACAAGAATTTCTCGTGAATTTCGTGAAAGGGTTAATCTGAGTTCAATGGGTTCAATCAAATAGCCCGTAATAATGTTTTTATCGTTTGATTGTTCCCTTTCAATAGAGAATTCATTTAAAATTGATGAATTATAATTTTTTTCTCTGCATGTTTGGCACAAAAACATCGATGAATTCATTTGAAAAGAATTAATGAATTGTTTATTTCATGTAATTGAGAATTTTAATTCAAATAAATTAATGAGTTTATGAATTTCCAACGAAACAATTGTTGCGGTGAATGTGAAATTTTAATTTAAAGACTCTTATTCGGCTCGAATGCGTCATCTCTCCGGATGCACACGTGAGCAAAAAATCTGCTGAGACATTCGGTCAGATTGACCTCCGCGAAGTGATCCACAACAAAGGAAACGCGAGAATTAAGACACGGTGAAAGAATTACGTTGCAGCCCGCGATGGCAGTGAAAAACATTGAAAGGTCCGCCACCGAATGACGATGTGATCACGACGCGATGCAGCGTGCGAAATCGTGAACGAACGAGACGCCACTTTTGTTTACAAGTGTGGAGACGTGCACACCGGGACCGCGCCTGGACCTCTTGCGTCAGTGCATCCTCAGATCACTTTCTTCGGCTAGTGCGATCATCATTCATTCCGGGAATCACTTCTGATTATGAAATAGCGATTTTAAATTACGACTGGGATTTCTTACTTTGTTGAGTGATGAACCTGAAAATTCACTGAACGTTTCAGATTTCTTCTCTTGCATTCCCATAAAAATTCCCGGAAACCGACTCCCCATTGCGGATTACGTGAATTGTTCCGTAATTTTTACTGAATATTTCCCTCCGTGCGAGCGAAACGACAGGTGAAATTACCAAAATCAAAATTCGTGATGACTCTGATCTGACGAAATTGAAGAAAGATGAGCCGTAATGATTATTTCATTGATGATCCACATTTTCTTTTCTGCACACGTCATGTTTGCCATTGAGGCAGATAAATTGCGGTCGTTATATAAGACACGGGCAGAAGTGGACATCGACTGTCTTCAATCAAATCTATATTATTGAACAATATTTATGCAACAACGTAAAGCATGTTATCAAGATTATAGTTTTACTCATGAAGAAAATTATATAATTTGATTATGAATATCAAAAATAAAAACTATCCATCTATGATGGATGTGATAAATGGATGGGTTTAAACAGAAATTTAAAAAATAATTATATATTTCATGTGTAAAAAAAATACATAAAAAATAAAAACACAACATAAAATAAAAACAAAATAAATACATAAAAAAATGCATGGGAATATATTTCATAATTACATAAAAATTATGTATGAAATACATAAAAAATTATGTATTTCATACATAATTTCATACATAATATTTGTAATGTATTTCATACATAATTTTTTAGGAATTGATTATCAGTAATAATCCAATAATTGATAATTATAATTATCAGTTATTGGATTATTATCATTGGGGTTTGGAATTTATGTGAATAATAATTTTTATTATCATTTGGTATTTGGAGAGCGCCCGAGGCATAATCGGAAGGTTCCGGGTTCAAACCCCGGTCTGGATTATCCATTTTTTTCCATTAAAAATTTCCTGGTTATTCATATTGAAAATAATCCCGGTTCCCCCCCTACCTCATCCAAATCCCGTTCACTCATTCTCCTACGACGTAACAAAGATGTGGAACGCTATATAAATTCCCTTCTTCAACGTAAATGATGCGGATGCGCATATCTTTATTTTTAAAAATATAATATAATATTAATCATTAATATTATATTAATTATTATAATTAACATTATAGTATATCATTTAATATTAATAAATATTTATAAATATTTACAAAAATTTGCTGATCTGCTAATAATTTTTTGTTCTTTTAAATATTATATAATATTAATGATTGATATTATATTATATTTGATAACATAATTATCAAGAGCATCTTCAAGAGTCCCAAAAAAAATGGTCCGATATGTGTTGAATTCTCCTCTTGCCCTCAAGCCTCAATTGCCTAAATTTTGGGCTGAAACAGGGAATTATCCAATGATCATCCTCTCCTCACTTTCACTCCGCGTCAATGTATTCGCCTTAACTAGTAGCGTTGTAATTGCCGATGCCCATTCCGTCAGATTGGAAGCGTTTAGATGATACAAGGATAGCTAACAGCAGCAATTTAATCTCAAGTAACCCGCCGAGATGGGAGATAGTTTGGGGAACGAGAAATGCCGGGAAAGTAACTGTGCGTGGAGCCCGTGCACCTCAAGAGAATTATGTAAATATGATGCTGAGTTTTTGTTGTTCTGTTGCAGGAAGAGATTCAAAGTCTGAATGTGAGGTCACAGGGGCAGCTGAAGGGGAATCACCATGAGGAAGGGGAAGAGATGGTTCTGCCAATGGACCTTCTTGGCGCTCATTCTCCCTGAAATGATCAATTGCCAAAAGGTTTTTAATTACTTCCTCCTCATTTCGTTCGGGTTTTCCTTCACAAAAAACAACATCTCCCCTTTTTCCGAGGAATTTATTTTTATTCATTTATTTATTACGGGATTTTTAAATGCATCGCACGGGTATTTCCAAAGCACTTGAAATTTATCATCCCGTTCAGCTAAAAGGATTGTGTTATCCAACCGTGTGAAGCGGAGCGCGTAGAATTGGAAGCGCGCGATTGTTGCTCAACGCGTACGACGGTGCTTCGGTTCTATGACTGTATTATTGTGCGCGGATGTATCAAGAGATAGGTTTTCAGGGTAGATAGACTGCTGCTTCTCCCACATTTGCTTCACATGCAGATATTACGTCCGCATCGCGCTCTACATTCAATTCCATTGGGTGTTGTTACTAAATCTCTGTTTTCATTAATTTTCATTTTCTCATTTTTTTCTCGCTTTTTTTGAATCGATGGACTTCACCCTGAAAAGTCTCATTTGTGACCCTTATGAGGGTCAATAGGCATCAGCGGGTTTCAAATAAGATAACTCGCTCGTTGCGCCCGAATTCAATGAAATTTTCATTTTTACTGAATGAATATCGATAACTCATCAATTTGGATCTGTTTTCCCTTTTCTCTCTAAACATTACCCCGCGCGATAGAATGGCAGCTGATGTTGGGGGATTGTTGGTGGACTCGAGAATAATCACAGACGAAATTTTTACTCTACCGGCACGGTAATTTTTATTTTTATCAGGATAAAATTCAGTAGCGAAGCGGTAAAACGGTTTAAGTCGATTTTGATTATTTACCAGTTTTCAATAAATATCTCAGAACGTAAGGAAGATGGCAAAATTTTTGACATAACCTTTTCTATAGCACTCAATTCGCTCTACAAAAAAGGTCATTACAAAAATTTCGTTATCTCCCTTGAATTCGTAGATATTCCTTAAAAACTCAGATGAGAGCTAAGTCAACTTAAACCGTTTTACCGCTTCGCTACTCAATTTCTCTAAAGTAGAATAAAATTTGATCATCATATTAATTTTCACTGAATTTCGGGGTAGAAATGAGGAAACGATGACTCGTAATACACTTTTATAGAACGGTAGGATAATTTTAATAAAAAATTTCTCTCCAAATAATTTGTTATTCAAGCAAAAGCGCCAGATATTCCGTGAACAAGTGCTCCCAGCCCTCGGCGGTAAAATTCCGGAAGAAGCTTTTAGAACAGACCGTCTAGCCCTGAATCGCCTGAATAAAGAAGGTATCACTGTTGTTGATGGCGTGATACTCGAGGCTCGCCACGCAGACAAACATCCAACTCATGACCGAATCCAGCCTGAAGTTATAAAGGTACGTAATACCCAGCAATTCTCGTGTGTTCTATTGTTGAATTCGTGAGACATTATTCTACGAATTACCGATCCCTGATTTCATACATTTGTTTGGGGCACTATTGTGGATTGAAATCGTGGGGCAATCGTGATATTATCAATCACGACGGGATGAAGAAGTCTTCGGATTTCATTTGAGATTCAATTCTCAAATGTTAGAGGACAAAATCTCCTCCCAAAAATCCCTTCCGAAAACTTATTCGTATAATCACAACAATATTATCGATCATACGGTTAAAAAAAAAAAAAAAAAAAAAAACATGTAATAAAAAAAAAAAGAAAAATATCCCGTCTTTTTTTTTTCACAGAACCAACGTAGTTGGTAACGTAGTTTTGAGTTATTCTCGAATAAAATAAAGGAAGAAAAAGAAATAGAATAGTCGATTCCAATGAATATCTCGAAATCTAAGGGAGATAGCGAAATTTTTCTCAGAACCTTGTTAGCAGCCCTCAATTTTCTCTACAAAAAAGGTTATTATGAAAATTTCGCTATCTCCTCTGAATTCCAAAATATTTCTGGAAAACTCAACCAAAGACTAAATTGACTTAAACCGTTTGACCAGTTCGCTACTGAATTTTAAAAATAAACATTTGTAAACCTCTATTCATATCAAATTTGGTGATTGCCCTCTCCAGGGAGGTTTTCCTCGAGAGACTTTGCCCGGGAAATTGAAAAAAATGTTAATTTTGTCCGGGAAATTGTGTCCGAGCATTCATTCATCTTTTTTTCCTTTGCATTCTCAAGGTTTACGCGACTGTAGACAACAGATACGTCCCACCGGAAGGTAGATATCACTACGATCAGCCGAGGACTGTGGACACAACGTACGTCATCAGGAAACCAATTGGCGATTCCGGCCTCACTCTCAATCCCCCCGATCACCGTCATGAATCGACTTATCCTCCAGCTGAGGCTCACGGCTACGTGAATTTCCACCGACAAACGCCAGTCCCCGTTCCCATTTCCCCTCCCACTCCCCCCAAGATCTACAAGCCTATTATTAAACCCCTCATCATCCCTGCGGATCACATCTTATTCTCAGGGTTCTATCATCCCTCCTGGGATCATCCGCACGCCTTCGATTGGAGTGGAAGTAGATTCAGGGACCAACTTCGTGATGAACATCCACCGGTGTTTGACACTTATCAAGTAAAATTTTAGAAATTTATAAAATAAAAAAAAGAAAAAGAAAATTTGAAGAAAACAAAAATTCGAGTGCAAATAAACAGAGATAGCCGTATTCAGCAATTATAATTGCCGTTAAATTATAAAGTTTTCAACTGTTAATATGAATGTTGAAAAAAAATTTAAATATTAAATTAACCTTTTTAATATTGTCGAACTCTAATATTGTTGGTCATCCCTGCAAATAAATGGGGTGAAAATATATTTTCGTATTATCACAGATTATAGAAAACTATCAAGGATTTCTCGACGATTTCCACAACCGACGATTGCGTCATACGGAAAATCCTACTCTGGCGAACGCGCTAACAGCCGCAGGGAAGGCCATTAAAACTTCTGCAAAATCTGCATTCGAATTTACCTCGCCTCAGCTCGAAGACACGAAACGTGAGACGAGCATTCCAGAAACAGGATTTTCATGCGAAGGGAGGATAGGAACATTCGCTGACATCAAAGCCAACTGTCAGGTGAAAATAGAACTTGTATTCAGAGATAATCCCCTTAGAATTGAATGAGAAATGCCCCGTCACTTTCTAGGAATTTGTCAGTCTTTTTCATTCAGTCCACTACTTCGATTAATTTACTCTAGTATATCAGTCAGTGTCATAATGTGCAGGAGCACGGGGTGACGGGGATTATATAAGTGGGAACGGACTAGTCATGGGACGATTACACTGAGAGAAAAAACGCTGTCAAACGAATCTCGTTGGGGCCAACAAAATCGCTAGTTGAAAATTGCGAAAAAAGAATTTGTTTGGTTCGAATTTGAAAGTCTCAAACATGAATAATTGTTCTGCTTTCGACAGCAACGAAATATTTGGCTCAAGAGGCGGATAATTCACACCAGACGGTGCCTTTTCAGGATGAAAATATCTCATTAGAGGAAAATTATCAACAAATATTTTATCCCTAAGTTACAAAATTGCTATCATATCATTATTATTGTTTCATTTAAGGGTTCATTTGTTGTCTGTGATTATTAGACTGCCGAAACGAAAAACTACTATCCCTTGTTTCGCATAAAACAAAGATTTTTCGGGAGCAAAATACGTATGGGAGTATCGAATAACGAAGGAGTAGTGCTAGAAATGACATTTCTTGCGTCTACAGAGAATGCAATTTTTTTTGAACTACTAAATATATTTTTGGGACAAAAATTTTTCATTCCGGCGCACTCTCTGCATGTTTGTCACAAAAAATCCTTTTTTGATAATTTTCAAAAAACTATTTTCTTGGCACAAGTAAGACTTGTTTGAGGACTTTGTCGTTTTTCTCTCACTGTAGGCTGATTCGATTTCTCACGCGACGGTCAAATGGTCCCCGAGGTCTGGGGTGTTACATTTGCTCAGACGATGATATTAAGAGCGGATGAAATAACAATTTGTCTTTTTAGGTGTTTCATGAATGCTCCGGATGGCGGAAGACGTCTTCAACGTGTCCGTTTGGTACAGCGTACAGTGAAGAGTTGAAGAGGTGTGAATGGACTCATCAAGTCAAATGCAGTGCATGAAAAATGAACAATTGACGATTTTTTTTAATATGTGGGGATGATTCATCATGAGGCCATTTATCACGACGTGAATCACTCGTCATTGGTCGACTGAATTTAAATATTGTTATTTCTGTAAGACAATTTTTGAATAAATAATTTTGTATACAAATAAGTATGACAGATCGTGTCTAGGGGAATTCTGCATAAACCGTTGAATTCAGGGTGAAAAATATGTATAAATTAATGGCATTAATTTCCTTTTCGAAGACATTTTCGACTTTAGTTCGTCGCGCCGTACACTGAGAGAATAACAAACGCGTTGTCAAACAAGTTGTTTGGACCAACAAAATCGCTAGTTGAAAATTGCCGAAAAAGAATTTGTTTGGTTCGAATTTGAAAGTCTCAAACATGAATAATTGTTCTGCTTTCGAGAGCAACGAAATATTTGGCTCAAGAGGCGGATAATTCACACCAGACGGTGCCTTTTCAGGATGAAAATATCTCATACAGAGGAAAATTTATCAACAAATATTTTATCCCCAATTTACAAGATTGCTATCGTATCATTATTATTGTTTCATTAAAGGGTTCATTTGTTGTCTGTGATTATTAGACAGCCGAAACGAAAAACTACTATCCCTTGTTTCGCATAAAACAAAGATTTTTCGGGAGCAAAATACGTATGGGAGTATCGAATAACGAAGGAGTAGTGCTAGAAACAACATTTCTTGCGTCTACAGAGAATGCAATTTTTTTTGAACTACTAAATCTATTTTCGCGACAAAAATTTTTCATTCCGGCGCACTCTCTGCACGTTTCGCACAAGCAAGACTTGTTTAAGGACTTTGCATTTGCTCATTTATCCTCATCTCGAGAGAAAAGGCCACTAATCACTACTGCAGTCTAATCAATGTTAATCGTCAACAAGTCGAGAACACGAAAATCGAGAATTTATCAATTATCGTCATCATTTCACCGGCGTTTGAATCTGTTTTCTTTATTGGCAGAAGATAATTAGCGAACGATATTACGCTCCCGACGTACGATAACTCTCTGCACTCTCTAGATGTTCGTTGGTATCACAGAAATCTAGAAATCGTAAAATTTTTATCAATTACATTTCATATTAAAATCGAGGAATTTTCATCAGTGATTAATCGACATCTTCAAGATTCCCTCTGAATAAAACAATGTTAAAATTATCTCAATAATCAAAAAATGGTAATTTAAGTCACGATTCAGATTCTCAATTCACGCATTCAACAATAACTGGAACAACAACCCCAGTTTAGCCATAATTATCCCGAAGAAAAACCGATAAAATTCCAATACTCTCGTAGAAAAATCCTCGTGGAGTGTCCGTACTCCCCGAGAAAAAGTATTCTCCTTTATTTTTCTCGCTCATAATTTACGATCTTGTTTTCCTCCGCAGGAAAATTATACATCCACCACTGAGAGCGGCGCTCCCCAGCAAATTCATGGAAAGCAGTAGAATCCACCAGAAAACTTTCTTTCAACTCGAATAATACATTGTATTTTCTTTCCTCGGTGTCCAGGCGAACAATTGTGTCATGAGTTTCCACTGAATACGTATTCGCGGCAAAAACTCGCGCGCAATTTCGCACCTCCGGGCGTCATCAATCAAACAACGAGATGATCCGCTGGAATTTATTATTCTCGTGTTCCGGAATTAATGACGGCGAGTTGGTCGAGTGTTTTGGACCGATTGAATTTCCTCTCGCACATCTGATCACCGTTTTTCCGTTCGTAACGCAGGGGTGGGGTTTACCCATGAGATATTCAGTAACTGGTGACTTTCTCTGTGACATAATTTACCTCATGCCAGGCAAGAGAGCCTCAAACACAACGGAAGCTGGAGCAGTTTACCTCAACGTCAAACTCAGTGCGGTCATGGCAAGGAGCTATCCAGTGACACTGCGAATTCTCATTATCATCGGGGGATTCACCTTCACCCTCTCGCAGGTGAGGTCCTTAACTACTCAGTACAGTGGCGCTCCGGGCGCCTCCGGTGGCCGCAAGTAGTTACGTTCAATCAGGTGCAGACCGCCTTCACGCAACTCTTCGCTTTTTGCACTCGAGTCTTACGTTGTTTCGTGGGAAATTGAACAAAAAACGGGAAAATGGGGAAAAACTGTTTACGCAATTCTCGGGAGGCATTTTCTTTCGTGGCGATTATCGTAACCTTGACTCTGGGGGGAGGCTGACACGGTCGGTGGGCACGAGATGTTTTTCGCGCTCATTTTCTTTGTTTTCATTTTTTTGGGATTAAACTTGCAGTGAAGACCACTGGAGCATTCAGATCGGGATGACTGCGGTCGGGCTCAGTGGATTGAAACGATGAATGATGCTGGCGCTTCATTCGGAGGAGAATTATTTATGCCGAGCGATTTTACGGCGCGCGAATAGGTTTTTTTTCGATGCGGGGGAGGGATGGGCGATGATTTAAAGTAGCTCTGCCCTTACGGTAAATTCAAAGATTATTGAAAACTGCAAAAATTTGCAGAAAACTCGAGTAGATTAGGAATTCTAATTTTTTTCTCAATTTAATTATCGTTTTGGTTTTTCAAAGAAGAAATGTTTCAAAATCAGGATTTAACACTGTGTCTTATGTGAAAATCAACATTTCCATTGTGATCGAAGATTAAAATCTGATTTTTTTTTCATCAGATGTGAAAAAATCAAGAATTTTTTTGACATCTCATAAAAAATAATCCGGCATTTTGCAAACAAGTTTTATTATTTATTCATAAGAGGGAAAAAATAATAATAATGTTTGAAAAAATATTGATATTTTGCGAAATTTAATTTAGATCATACTGACTGGGTATGAATTTTTTCAAATTTTTTCCACGCAATTTAGTTGAAAAATTTTAAAATTGAAAATGTTCAAAGGTACAGCGTAGCCCGGCCGAAGGGCAGAGCTACCTCAAAAAACATCGATTATTTAGAAAATCGATGTTTTTTTCATTGCGCAGGACGAAAAACAAATTGTTAAAAATATTTATTTTCTTCTCGTTTTTATTGAGAAATATATATTTTAAAGATACAATCCAAGCAGCTTACGTTTCAACGATAAGTACTGCTGGAGAGTTAAATTTTGAATCTAGAAACAGGGTTTTTGATTGATTTAAAAAAATATGTTGAATATTTTCCTTTAGCTGCAATAATTCAGTAGCGAAGTGGTAAAACGGTATAACTTAGTTTTGACTATTGGCCAGTTTTCAATGAATATCTCGGAATCTAAGAGAGATAGAAAATTTTTTGTAATAACCTTTTTTGTAGAGCCGATTGAGAGCTGCAACAAATGTAATTACGAAAATTTCGCAATTTTCCTTAGATTCGGAAATATTCTTGAAAAACTCAACTGGGAGATGAGTCGACTTGAACCGTTTTACCACTTCACTACTGAATTGTTAAAAATTTAAATTAAAAATAAACAATAGATGACTGGACTTGTTCACTTATCATTTATAACATGCATACTGTAGAAAATAATTAGTTCTGATTGCGGATAAATTATCATTTTGTTTATTCTCACTCAATCAACACTATTATTCGACAACAAAATAATGCGCAGTAAAAATGCAAAATGAGGAAATCAGAAGTAAAATGAATGAAGTAATGGGAGTTGATGGGTCTTGTTGAAGGATCAGAGGTTCAGAATACGGGTTTACGATGATTATCCGGAGTATCAGGAGTACCAGGAGTTCCAGGACTATCAGGCGGAAGAGCCTCCCCAGGAGGTGAGGCACGAGCAAGTGCGGGCGCCTGTGCAGTTGCAACTGAAAAACGAGGAGAGGAAGAAGGACCAGGACTTTAGCAAAATTCCGGGGGCGCCGGGGGTGGACTACCCGATATATCATCAGGTGCCGCAGACGGAGTTCTCGTGCGCGCGGGTCCCCTTTGTGCCGGGGATGTACGCTAATCCGGAAACTGGGTGTCAGGTGAGTCAAATGGGAGAATATTTTTGTGACCAATGGTTTTCGACGATGGCTCAAAAAATAATTGTTCGAATGAATGTAATTATGATTTAAATATGCATCATGTTCTGTTGGAAAATTTATTTTAGGGCAATGTTGAATGAAATGAATCGTTGAATTTAATTTAAAATACATCCTCATAGAAATTCCACTCAGAAACAAATTGGGAAAAAATCTCTCGTCTAAATATTCCCCCGGAATTATTTTCCCGGAATATTTTCCCCTGAAAATCGCCGGAAAAAAAATCTCCGGCAAGAATGAAAAATAAAAAAAATAAATTATGTTTCATTAAATGTCGTCAATAATTTTTTTAATGAATCTTCCTCCCTAATTAATTCGAATTAATTGGGGGAGTTGGTTCCAAAATGTTGACAATTAATTTATTGCGGTAACGTAATTTATTTATGATTGATCTATTGAAAAAGTTGAATTCTCATCTGGCGTGATTCGAAGATTGAAGGATGTAATAAATAAAATTGACGTTGGTAATGTGTGTTTGTGTAATTGTTTTTCACATTCGTAAGGGGAAATAATTCCGGGAATTTTCTCCGGGGAATTATTTCGAAGGAAAAAAATCCGTGAACCTTTATCTGCAAAAATATATTGACTAGGTTGTGACGAGAGCACTTTCCCACTTGTTTTTACTTGATGAGGCGGCATGATCGTTAATTTGAAGTCTCTTTTAATGAATAAAATTAAATGACTTGAACTCTTGAAATTAATGAAGATGATAAAATCAATAAACTTTAATGGTTTTGAAACCAGCGTCACTTCTTGACGCGACAATAAAATCATTTTAAATAAATGAAATCGTGTATTCGATGAAGTCATTGACATTAACTTTTACAACGCACTAATTACGCCGCACGATACCGCGGCAACGCATTCACCTTCTCATTAATTACCCACGCACACTCATTATCATCGTAATTATGAACTCGGAACCCAATACGTCCATAAGTCACCACAGCGAGAAGTCTGGAAACGATAAGAATGTTACCGAGTGCATTGAAAAAGAGAAAGAAAAACTATAAAATCCGAGCATTGGGAATTATTACAAGGACGATGGTCTCGATGAAAGTGTATCATTGAAAATCCGCAAGACATAATTGCAATATTCTAATCCACTGATAAACCCCAACAGCAGAGATCGGGAATAATATTATTTTCGATATTTCCCCGAAATTTAATTCTTTCAGCAGCGAAGTGGTCAAACGGTTCAAGTCGATTTTGGCTATTGCCCAGTTTTCAATGAATATCTCGAAATCCAAGGGAGATAGCAAAATTGTTCTCATAACCTTTTTAGTAGCACTCAATTCGCCCTACAAAAAAGGTTATTATGACAATTTCGCTATCTCCCTTCAATTCGGAGATATTTCTGGAAAACTTAACTAAAGATTAAATTCACTCAAGGGGAGACTATTATGGGTTTTAAAAGTCGTGGGTTATTGGAATGAGACTTTTCATACGTTGAAGATCGATTATATAGAACAAAAAGCTAATAATTACTGCAAAAAAATTTTTTTTTTTTCGTTTGCCCGAAAACGCTTAAAATGCCAAAAACAGTCCAGGGCCTCCAATTTGTGAGCTACCAAGGATTTTTTTTTTTCAAAATTTTCAGGAAAATATGTGGAATAACAATTACGAGCTAGTTTTTTTTTAGGTCGCCTCTTACATGGCTAAATTTGCTTTTTTTGTATTTTTTTACACAAATAGTGAATTTTTTTACATGAAAAAAACCGAAATCAGCTGTGTAGGAGTCGAATTCCAAAAAACTGGCTCGTAATTATCGTTCCACACATTTTTCCGAAAATTTTGAAAAAAAAAAATCTTTTGTAGCTCAAAAATTGGAGGTCCTGGACTGTTTTTAGCATTTTAAGCGTTTTCGGGCAAACGAACAATAAAAAAAATTTTTTCTGCACTAATTATTTGTTTTCAGATCTATATAATTGATCTTTTAAAACTCATAGTAGTCTCCACTTAATTATCAATATTCTAATGAGCGATGAACAATGAACATTATTCATTTACCAATCTCAGAGATTGCAACCAAAAAACCTTAGTATTCCCACACCAAATTCTAATCAGATTGTGAATAGAATCATTGTGAGAGAATGTATTTCGCAACGCGGAAGCGACCGAGCGCCCGAATGAAGACTAAGACCCTCGGATGATGACTTCGCAGGCATTTAACTCGGAATAATGACCAGAGTGAAGGTAATTGTCGCCTCCGGATCAGTATTACAGTTTCGAAAGGCTCGCATAATTGGTCTCAAAAGCATAAATCTTTGGAAGATAAAATTCGAAAAATTATGCATCGAATTCCCGCCCCCCTTTCGTCCCAAGGAGGAATGTCATGAGGTTTTCTCCTGCGATATGGGACACCCAATAACTTTTTCCACCTTCTAAATTTATTATTAGAAATGTGAAGGATCGAACGAGGACTGATAAAACTGAGAGTTGAGAATTGGAGCGCGCGGCGAAGCTATTATATAAGAAAAAGCGGGTCTTGTGTATTACAAAGACCTCCAGGCGAGTTGGGACTTTTGAAACAGTCTCTCTGAAGCTTGATGGCTGATTTTTCACAGAGAATGCCGGGGAAATTATTTTATCATTCATGATTTTTCAACGGCGGCTGATTGAGTCGATATTTTTTCAGCGAATGAACGGATGGAGAGGAAAATCCAGCGATAATTGCGTGAAGATGTGTGTCGAAATGCATTCTCAGTCATTTTTAGTTGGAAATCAAGGGAAAAATATTGTTCTCTGCTGTTTTTTCCTCGATTAAATCCCTCGATGTTATTCCCTTTATTTTGATAAAAATTTCAGTCCACCAACCTATGTTTATTATTTAGAAATGGAGTGGACAAAATGGGCCCCAAATTTTTTTCTGGCCATTCGATTCAGTATAGTTTTGCACATTACCTTCTATTTTTATTTTTATTTTTAAAGTATTATAGTTGGTGAATTATCAATTTCAACATAAATTCCATAAGAGCACGAGGATAAGGAAAAATTTGGTTATTTATTGTTGGCGAGATTATTGCGATTAATTTTTTTTTTAGAATCAAAGAAGTTAGTTTCACATGTTCTGCTATCAGCCAACAAATTAATTAAATTGTATAAATTATAGAATTTATAGAATAAATTCAGTAGCGAAGCGGTAAACCGGGTCAAGTCGATTTTGACTATGGGCCAGTTTTTGACGAATATCTGGGAATCTAAAAGAGATAGAAAAATTTTTGTCACGACCTTTTTTGTAGAGCCAACTGAGGGTTACAAAAAAGGTAATAAGCAAAATTTTGCTATCTCTCTTAGATTCCGAGATATTTGTCAAAAAATGCCCAAAAGTCAAAATCGACTTAACCCGGTTTACCGCTTCGCTACTGAATTATAGAATTATAGAATAAATTATAGAATTTTCTTTGAACATGAAAAAATAAGATTTGCCGAAAATTGCTGAATATCCTTAAAAATTTCGTTTCTCCTCAATGTTTTCTTTGCAAAAATGCATGCAATATGTTATGATGATCGATTAGAAACCATACGAAGCCCCCTCCCAGTGAAATTACACTGCATTTCAATCGGGCGTAACCACAGAGAGTGCAAGTTGAGAAAGAGCCTGTGATTCTCCCGGCTATTTCGTAAGCTCGTGTAATCGAGTGACTGATTCATCGGACACGCGTTCATCGAATCCCTTGTGCTCCGACACTGAAGAAATTTCCCACCAATTATCAACAACTCTCGTTTTCCAGGCGTATCACGTTTGTCATGATGGACGAGAGGGCCACCAGGGGGCTTCGTTCCTCTGCAGCAACGGGACGTTATTCAATCAGAAGGAGTTCGCCTGCGACTGGTGGTACAATGTTGACTGCTACGAGGCAACTAAACACTACAGGTAAATTCTGAAAAAGCATTGTATCATTAATTTCGAGGACATGAAGTTTAATTGTTCCCTTTTGCTTCCGAATGGAGCATTGTAATCGTTCAAATTTAAGTTTTCTATTTTGTGTTGTATCGCTAATGAATCGATGGAATTGAATCGTTTGTTTCCCCATTCATCGCCATTAATTAAAATTTAATTAATCAATTCATTTTTTCAATTTTCGAATTTTGTTTAAATTCAGTTGTAACACAACTAAAAAAATGTTCTGAGTTGAATGACGGGAAAAAAATTCGTTGGGATGTCCTTCTGACCGAGTTCGAAGATGAAAGCGATGGCAACAATCGTTATTTTGATTTCTGTGAAATTTTTCCAAAATTTCGTATTTTTCGAAAATCAGAATTCCGCAGATATCTCTGGATATTGCGCTGGAATGAATTCAATTATAGCTTAATATGTTTGTTTCAATGCGACTATGACGAAGTTAAAAGTTAACTGTCTCGGTTAATTTAATTTTCAGGATAATTTTTGGAAATTTCGAATTTTTCATGAATTCCCCTGAAAATCAGCTTTCTGATGGTTCCTTAAAATATAATGTTTCGAATGCATTCAATTATGTATAAATGAAATATTCCTAATAATATTTCATCGAAATTTTCAGATAGTTGAGATATTTTTCGATAAAACAATCAAAGAACGATGAAACAACAATTTTCATCTTTGTGGACAATTCACTTTCACTAATTATTCGAATGGAAGAAAAAGGTCCAGATTGATTCATTTATCATTGAAAAGAATTATTTCGATCTCACTTTGAATGAATAAGCTCGTGAGGGATAATAAAAAAAAAAAATTATGGAATTTCATCAAGTGGAAAATCTAAAACAATTAGTTGTGAAAAAATTGATTCAATTCCCGAAAATAAAATAGGCTATGAATAATGTCCAATTGAAAAAAAAAAACAAAATGACCATTCGGAAGCATATTGCCAATTTACTAGCAAAAATAACTATACAATACACAATACAAAAGCAATTTCCCACTTGTTTTAGATTGAATGGGGATTTGCAGACAAATCCATTCGTCCCGAAGGAGCGCAAGGACGCGATAGCTCGCGAGAAGCTGAGAATCGCAGTATTTTGACTCCACTGAACCAAGAGCACCTAAATATTAATTTAAATTCCCCAGAGGTCTCCCTGACTTCAACCCACCAAAATCAAAGACTTCCGCATTATTAGAATCCCTGAAGTTCCACAACTTCTCAAATAAAAATATTTCCTCAATTTTCTTTTCCTCTTTCTATTCTTTTATTTCTTCAATTTTGATTGTTACTCTTTTATCAAATAAACGAAGCGATAAAATTGTGGAAGGAATTTTCCAAATGTCCGGTAGAATAAATAAAATAAAATGCATAACCCCAATAATAATGGAAACGTTACACCATTACAACCCACTCAATGTACAATAAGTTAAGAAAGTGATTAGGCGTCCCACAATCACCCGAACCACAGATTACATAAAAATATAAATGATTATTTTCCGATAAATGCAAGACAACGAAGGAGAAAGGATAACGATTATCCTAGTGCCGATCACGACATCGAGATAGCGAGAGATCAGTTGGTATTCTTATCGACTACTTCCAATACCTGTGAGCAAAATGCACAGAGTCTCTTTCCTCTCCTGCATTCAGCTGAAATAAAAGTAACCCGGGACAGTGACCTCGAGAGTTTACTATTCCCCCTGGATTTTCCCTCCTCATCGCGAGGGATTTTTTTATTCTCACGGAAGTGGCCAAGCTGTATTATTTCTCGGATTTCATCAGAAAGGGGAAAAAAATGTAGTTTAATGTTGCGAAATGCTTTTCGGTCGCATGTCAGACGTGAAATTATCATGTCCATGCTGCATGGTGCATTTTTGTGTCGGTGAGCAGTGGAATTGGAGTGTCGGTGGTTACGACGCAAGGGCGTTTCCTATCGATGGTAGAATACCTTTGGCGTAGGTGGAAAGTCGAGGACGGAGACTGGGACGATTGTCCTAGCGGAAAATACGGGGCTTGGGTAACTTTTATGGCAGGGTATGGGAAATATATTTTGGTATAGTTCAGTGACAAAAATGGAAAACGGTTCCAACTCTTAAACTCTATCTTAAATCAAGAACAAAAAAAAAAAAAAAAAAAAAAAAAAAAAAAAAACTTCATGTACTTCATGTTTTATGAATGTTGTAATGACTTGAAGAGAATTAAGAGAATGAAGAGTGAAACATCGATGAATAATTTTTAATCTTCGATTTTTTTTTTTAAGCTTTTTCGGGCGAACGTACAATAAAAAAATTTTTTTTTTCACTTATTATTCGTTTTCAGATCTATATAATCGATCTTCAAGGCATGAAAAATCTTACTCCAATAACCCACGACTTTTAAAACTCATAGTAGTCTCCCCTTAACATCCTTAACTTCGCATCGCCCAGAAAAATATAAAAATGACACAGTGAAACTGCTTACAGACAGTGAACCGGACTGAATGCGTCAGTGCATGCAGAATCGCGTAACGAGGAAAAATGAGTGAATCTCTTCATACATTTTCCCACAGTTGTGGAGAAGCCCCGTAATGAGTGGTTCTCTCCATTTGAGAATCCTCACACGAGTTTTCACGCTCATTATTGTCGATAACCGTCGCCTGCCTCGTTACATCTTCTCATTATAATCACAATTATTACGACTGTTTTGTACGAGAGGAAAATCGGTATATTGTTGAGGCGAAAGAGTCATAACGCTTCTTCATATTTTTCTGACGATATCCTCTGACAATTCGTAATATTATATTTTTACTTTAATGAAATTATTTCATCCTTTCAATTGCTGTTTCTCTTAGATTTGAGATATTTTTATTAACTAACGATGAAAGAAACGTGAGATTGTTTTATATCGAAATATCTCGAAACTACTTGATCGCTAATCCTCAATTCTGATTGGTCAATCGCGTGAAGTAGTCGCTGAGAAAAATCCCCGGTATTTTCAAATTCTTCAAATGCCAAAAAAAATTTCTGCGTCATGTTTTTCATTTTTTCATGTGTGAAGTTTATCTTTATATCAAAACATAATTAAATTACCTAATTGTTGATCATGAGAAAAAAACAGTATTTCTAAATTTTTTTAACTCACAAATTATTCTTCACTTTCCAAATTTCAATTTTTTCATATTTATCATACGCAAAAATGATCAATTCTTGCTTCTCAGATTTTTACACATAAATTCTAAACTCTGCAAAATTCATAAAAATTCTTCGGTTTCCCAAATAATTCGAGAAAAACCTGTGAAGATTTCCGGTTATCTGGAAAACTGTGAAATTTTCCGAAGAATTGAAGAAATTTTTTCAGTTTTCTGGAAAATCAATTCATAACCCTGCCCTTATTTTTCCACAATTACAGATTTTAATCAGATTATTTTAAAAAGTAAAAAAAAAAAAGAATTAATCGAAGATTAAAAATTATTCATTGATGTTTCACTCTTCATTCCCTTAATTCTCTTTAAGTCATTATCAATATTTATAAAACATCTATGAGTATACTATGTTTAATAAATTCGATTTCTTCATTTTTCAAAAAAATCCGATTTTAATCTTTGATTACAATGGAAATGTTGATTTTCACATAAGACACTGGGTTAAATCCTGATTTTTGATTTATGTGAAAAATTCTATCCCATATAAGCGCATCATCAACGTGATTATCAGTTTTTTAATTCGTAATAAATTGCATTATTTATTTAAAACAAGGAATGGAAACAGTAATTGTTCGTAATGATTACTTTAAAAAATTATTTGACGATCAATTGACATTGATTGAGTCGAGACTCAATACTTCGTTGGCCACGGAAAATAGAAAATTCAGGCGAACCATCAAATTGAACAAATAACCCACCAGAAAGGTTAAGTACCGATTGCCCCCGGTGAACTCCTCTCCTCTTACCTCAATTCTCTCACACCCTCGGTGCATTTCCCTCCATGGATCTTGCTATCACGAATGAGCCTGCAATTACGTTACGATATGTACCTAAATGTTGCAAATTGAATGCACGCGCGGAAGTCTTTTGGAGCACTCCGGGCATTTTATTCAATCTTTCTCCTCTTCCCCCTTTTTTCACTCTCATTGCTGGGGAAAAAGGAGGAGTTTCGAATCGTTAATGTACAGACACGTTGGAGTACTTAATGCTGCATCTCCTTTTACGGCGGTTGTTACCAAACTAACTGAAAAATGAAAGATTAAATTACTTCAATTTTACCCACACGTTTTATTTGTGGGTGTTTAATAATAATGACTTTCAATTTTCCGGTTAATTAACAAATTTTGTAAATTAAGTGGCACGACAAAAATTATTGCTATGGTATTTAATATTAATCAGTCGTTTTTTTCTCGTTTATTTTCCGGTTAATTAACAATTGTCGTAAATTACAGTGCGCGACAAAGTTATTGTTCCGGTGAAAAACTGATTGTTTATAAATTACTTATAAAAAAGGCCGGAATCTGTGAATAATTAGTCATTTTTACTGAGAATTATTAAGGTCATAGGATTGAGATACGGATCGTCTGTGTCATCTCCATAGAAGAAATAAAATTTCCTTTCTCCCTTTCCTTTTTTCGTTTCGACGCTTGGGAGTTTGAGGTTTTTTTGGGAGTTGCTACCAAACTAAATGAAAAATGAAAGTTTAAATTACTTCAATTTTACCCACACGTTTTATTTGTGGGTGTTTAATAATAATGACTTTCAATTTTCCGGTTAATTAACAAATTTTGTAAATTAAGTGGCACGACAAAATTATTGCTATGGTATTTAATATTAATGAGTCGTTTTTTTCTCGTTTATTTTCCGGTTAATTAACAATTGTCGTAAATTACAGTGCGCGTCAAAGTTATTGTTCCGGTGAAAAACTGATTGTTTATAAATTACTTGTAAAAAAGGCCGTAATCTGTGAATAATTAGTCATGTTTACAGAGAATTATTAAGGTCATAGGATTGAGATACGGATCGTCTGTGTCATCTCCATAGAAGAAATAAAATTTCCTTTCTCCCTTTCCTTTTTTCGTTTCGACGCTTGGGAGTTTGAGGTTTTTTTGGGAGTTGTTACCAAACTAAATGAAAAATGAAAGTTTAAATTACTTCAATTTTACCCACACGTTTTATTTGTGGGTGTTTAATAATAATGACTTTCAATTTTCCGGTTAATTAACAAATTTTGTAAATTAAGTGGCACGACAAAAATTATTGCTATGGTATTTAATATTAATGAGTCGTTTTTTTCTCGTTTATTTTCCGGTTAATTAACAATTGTCGTAAATTACAGTGCGCGTCAAAGTTATTGTTCCGGTGAAAAACTGATTGTTTATAAATTACTTGTAAAAAAGGCCGTAATCTGTGAATAATTAGTCATGTTTACAGAGAATTATTAAGGTCATAGGATTGAGATACGGATCGTCTGTGTCATCTCCATAGAAGAAATAAAATTTCCTTTCTCCCTTTCCTTTTTTCGTTTCGACGCTTGGGAGTTTGAGGTTTTTTTGGGAGTTGTTACCAAACTAAATGAAAAATGAAAGTTTAAATTACTTCAATTTTACCCACACGTTTTATTTGTGGGTGTTTAATAATAATGACTTTCAATTTTCCGGTTAATTAACAAATTTTGTAAATTAAGTGGCACGACAAAAATTATTGCTATGGTATTTAATATTAATGAGTCGTTTTTTTCTCGTTTATTTTCCGGTTAATTAACAATTGTCGTAAATTACAGTGCGCGACAAAGTTATTGTTCCGGTGAAAAATTGATTGTTTATAAATTACTTATAAAAAAGGCCGTAATCTGTGAATAATTAGTCATTTTTACTAAGAATTATTAAGGTCATTAACCACCGTTTTGCAAACAAGTTTTATTCTTTATTTATAATCGGGAAATGTTTGAAAAATATCAATATTTTGCGAAATTTAATTTAGATAATCCTGACTGGGTATGAATTTTTTCAAATTTTTTCCACGCAATTTAGTTGAAAAATTTACAAACTGAAAATATCCAAAAGTACAGCGTAGGGTAGAGCTACTTTATCGTCATAGGATTGAGATATGGATCGTCTATGTCATGTCCATAAAAACAATAAAATTTCTAGTTCGGTATTAACGACGTGTGAAACGATATCCCCATCCCATAAACCATTTTCCAACTTGATTACTCAATTTTATCGTTGCGATTATCATAATGACGATTATCCAGGTGGAAATCCGTTCCATTGTGCTGAGAATAAAGAGTAAAATTTCTATAATTCGTAAACTCATTTTCCGTAGGAATGACTTATCGGCGTCTCATTGTCAGTTGGAAAAGCTGGTACAGTACAATTCAATTGCACAATATTTCTCGCATATAGCCCGCCAACGAGAAAGTATCACAGGATTTTATCCGGTAAGTGGCGTGAGACAGTGCGATTATAAGCTGTGTTGCTGGCTGTTGTAGTTGCTGGGGTTAAATTATAAATATCCTCGGCTCATTGGTGGATTAAAACTCGTAATAGTCGTATTACTATCCCCTGGTGTCGATCGTTTTATCATAATCACTGATGGAAATGCTGATGGTTTACGGTCAATGACGCATGGGTCGTAAAAGATATGTGCTGTTGTAATTGAACATTAGAGCTTTCATTCATGTCTCATTTGACCCTAGGTTACAGAACATTTGCAATGATTTTATTATCTATTTCACTCTGAAAATCATTTTCCCATTAAAGCGTTAAATAATCCTTTTATTTCTTCCAACGAATCTTTATTAGTCAATGCAGTTGAACGATAGACACTCAGTTATAAAAAACTGCCGAGGATTTTATTACGTAAATTTTGAAAATTTGAAACAAATGGAAAGTTTTTAAATTAGGAATTTTTAGAAATAATTGATAAACTAGTAATTTTGCACGAGTGAAAGGAGATGAGACGAGACAAATGAGACGAGAGACATGACGAGACGAGACGAGACAAATGAGACGAGAGACATGACGAGACGAGACGAGACAAGACGAGACGAGACGAGATGAGACGAGGCGAGACGAGACGAGACGAGACGAGACGAGATGAGACGAGATGAGACGAGACGAGACGAGATGAGACGAGATGAGACGAGATGAGATGAGACGAGATGAGATGAGACGAGACGAGACGAGACGAGACAAGACGAGACGAGATGAGACGAGGCGAGACGAAACGAGACAAGATCAGACGAGACGAGAAGCTGCGAAATCTTCTCGTCTCATTGTCAGGAAACCATTCTCTCGTCTCGTCTCGTATCGAAATATGAGAGCAATTTCTTCTCTCGTCTCGAGCAGAAAGGGGGAGGCTCTCTCGACTCTCGTCTTGCCTCTCGTTTCTCGTCTCGTTTTGTCTCGTCTCGTCTCGTTTCTCGTCTCGTCTCGTCTCGTCTCACAGCATTTTTACATTTAATTATTCATCTATAAATTTTTTCATTTAAGCGCCAAATTCGATGATTTAGTGATAACTTTGGAGAAATAATTTTTCGTTCGATCGACCATTTCACCCGTGAATCCTTCGAAGGGATAATCCTCGAAGGAATACGACCAATTGCGTCTGAATATCCAAACTAGATCGATGAATCTATATCGTAAAATTGCATCACAATCCACCGTGGCACACACGCCCACGACAAGGATTTCTCATAGCGCCGTACGTGGATACTGAAGTAGAATAGTTTATACAGTATTGAGAAGGGTAAAATAGGGATATAGTGTATCCTAGTTGGAGTTTGTGTGCAGCCAGGAGACTGTGATATAAATGGGCGGCTGTGCTGCTGCGGTATACACGAGCCGCCGTGGGAAAGGTAATCGGTCAAAAGAAATGCGGGTGGCGGTTCTCTCTATCGCATTACCCTGCACGGCAGAACAAACGCGCCAATCCGCTGAGTCAAGTCCAACTATTGCCTCAATTATTTCTTTTCCTTTTTTCGTTTCGACGCTTGGGGTTTTGAGGTTTTTTTTTCAGCATCGATATGCGCCAATTGATCGACTGCATGTGGGGAAGGAGTTAATGGTGGTTAATGATACTTTTATTGCCGTTGGGCTGTTGCGACGGTTCGAGGTAATTAGCACAACACTGAGTGTTGTATTAGAAAACGAAAATTATTCAATTGCAGTGAATATTTTTTTTTACGTCTATTCACGGAGAAATATTTTGCAAAATAAATTGTTTTCAATTGTGGAATTTTGTAGATTTTTTTTTCAGTTGAAAGTGAAGAATAAAAAATAGAGAATTATTCCATTCTCCAATTATCGTATTAATTATTAATATTAATTATTATTCTGCAATTATTTAATTGCAGTGAATATTTTTTTCATCAGTTGCAACGGAGAAATATTTTACAAAATAAATTGTTTTTAATTGTGGAATTCTGTAGATTATTTTTTTTCAGTTGAACGCGAAGAATAAAAAAAAATTATTCAATTGCAGTGAATATTTTTTTCATCAATTGCAACGGAGAAATATTTTACAAAATAAATTGTTTTTAATTGTGGAATTTTGTAGAATTTTTTTTCAGTCGAAAATGAAAAATAAAAACTTTTGTATTTAATTCCCGAAATCCGAGTCAAGTTCAACTATTGCCTCATCTTCTCCCATTGCCTCCCAGCCTCGATATGCGCCCATTGATTGACTGCATGTGGGGAAGGAGTTAATAGTTGTTAATGATACTTTTATTGCCGTTGGGCTATTGCAACGGTTGGGGGCAATTAGTAAAGCACCGAGCGTTGCATTAAGAGACGAAGATCATTCAGTTGCAGTTGATAATTATTTCTCATTTGCAAAGAAAAAAATTCAACGAAGAAAATAATTTTTTTATTGCGGAATTTTTTTTAGAATTTGTTTTTTTCAAATGAAAAATGAAAACTTTTGCATTTAATTCCCGAAATCCGAGGTTCAACTATTGCCTTATTTTTTCCTTTTGTCGACTCGACGCTGGGGATTTTGAATTTTTTTTACAATTGATTGACTGCATGTGGGTAACGAGTTAATAGTTGTTAATGATACTTTTATTGCCGTTGGGCTATTGCAACGGTTGGGGGCAATTAGTGAAGCACCGAGCGTTGCATTAAGAGACGAAGATCATTCAGTTGCGATGAATAATTATTTCTCAATTTCAAAAAAAAAAATTAACAAGTGAAATTATTTTTCAATTGTCTAACATTGTGGAATTTTTTTCCCGACTGAAATGAGATCAGATAGAGCTGCAAATGGAAATGAAAAATAAAAACTTTCATTTTTCGTGCATATGCATTTAATTCCCGGAATCGCTTGACAAATATCCTCTGGAAAACAAAAGGTTGTTACGTTAATGTTTCTCATGTGCACTATCCGGGTGTATTACTTTAGCGACGGGTGTATTAACTTGCCACAGTTCCGCCAGTCTTTCCCAACTGGCCGCCGTCCTTGACAACAATGCAGAAGTACATATGATATACGTTTAGTCGGATTGATACGGGGGGGAAAAAATTTAATTGCATTAAATTTCGCCCACTCCGGGCCGGAACTCTTGATTCATAACCTCCGGGATTAAATTACCTCTGATAATCGGGGAATAAGGGGACGGGCTGCACTGAGGGAAAACCAAACACATTATCAAACAAGTCTTGTTTGGGCCAACAAAATCGCTAGTTGAAAATTGCCAAAAAGAATTTGTTTGGTTCGAATTTGAAAGGCTCAAACATGAATAATTGTTCTGCTTTCGACAGCAACGAAATATTCGGCTCAAGAGGCGGATAATTCACACCAGACGGTGCCTTTTCAGGATGAAAATATCTCATTAGAGGAAATTTATCAACAAATATTTTATCCCTAAGTTGCAAGATTGCTATCATATCATTATTATTGTTTCATTTAAGGGTTCATTTCAGTAGCGAAGCGGTAAACCGGGTCAAGTCGATTTTGACTATGGGCCAGTTTTTGACGAATATCTGGGAATCTAAAAGAGATAGAAAAATTTTTGTCATGACCTTTTTTGTAGAGCCAACTGAGCGTTATAAAAAAAGTGATGAGCAAAATTTTGCTATCTCTCTTAGATTCCGAGATATTTGTCAAAAAATGCCCAAAAGTCAAAATCGACTTAACCCGGTTTACCGCTTCGCTACGAATTTGTTGTCTGTGATTATTAGACAGCCGAAACGAAAAACTACTATTGGGAAAGTTCCCAAATCCAACAGTTTCGTCACCGTCAGCTGACCTCACAATTAAAAAATCCTAAGCTCGAATAATCAAATAGAAACCCTCGAAATCAGCTCCGCAAAGTCCCCCACTCGCCAAAATCCCCAGCATTCTCATGATGCACTGGAGACCTCTCCCGTACGTTTCATCTCCCCTCATAATTCACCATAATACCCCCCAATTGAACCGAAAATAAATAGCTACCACCGCGGAAAAGCCCCGTCGAAGCCACCCCACCTGGTCCGGATCGGGCGCGGCCTTTCCCCTGGGTTCTATAAAGCCCGGAGTTGTCTACTTCCACCGAACATTCTCTCGTCGCCTCCGTCACCCATTTGTTCATCATGTGGCTACTTATCCTCGCAGGTGAGTGCGACCCCCGTACCATCCCCCACCCCCTCACACCCCCCGCCGATTCATTGAGTTCAATAGTCCCGAGTGTGACCAGTGAAATTCAGTGAAATGTGACATTTTCATCTGAAAAATGTATTTATCAAGTGTTGTGTACCACTGAGTGAGTAAAATCGTCATAAAGGGCTGTAATGAATCGTCGGGAGGGAATAAATTGACGGATAAACGGGCGATAGGAGCGACGAGCGCTTCCGGTTGTCAATTTTCTCGAGACTTTGTCCAAAGAATCAATGAAAAATGAGAAAAATCGAAACGATAGATCCATTGACTCTCGAAGACACGGCAAACACTTTTACCCGCATTAGAAACCCACTCAACCGGAAGCTTGGCACTCTCGCTTTTACATAAAAACCCAGCATGCATGTGCAAACAAACAATTTCCGATGGAGTAATTCAGCCGTCCTTCCTTCCGCAATTTACATTGACTTTTTTTTAATGACCAATGAATCTTTTTCAATGAATATCTCGGAATCTAAGGGAGATAGCGAAATTTTTGTTATAACGTTTTTTGTAGAGCTAATTGAGAGCTACAACAAATGTCATTACGAAAATTTCGCTATGTCCCTTAGATTCGGAAATATCCGTCATTTTACCACTTGGGTACTGAAATCAATTCATCGTCCGAAAATTAACGAGCCGTTTACTTCTGTTTCTTTGGGATTATTCGCATTTCAATTGAAGGGGAAATATTTTCCCCCTCACACTGGATAACTGGTATATAACCCATACACTTTCTCCTCGTCCACGTCTTACTGTAACACTGTCTTACTTTTACCGAGTTTAACCTCGTAAAAATGAAAACCACTGGTAGATTTTTTTCTTTTTCATTTTTTATCGAGTCAGGATTCAGAGACAGTTTGGTAAATCCGGAAGTGTGGATTTAGCGTCGATAAATCTGGGAGTTGGTGGATTTGGGGGTAAAACGGGCATTATTTAGCGGCGATTGAAGTCGTAAAGTAGAGAAATGATTTAATGACCGCATGAAATTATGCGGAACGGTAAATTTCCTTTTCCACAATTGGATGGCTTCGATGAACTATTTCAATCCCTTAAAATTATGCTCTGATCGATCGTTATGATCCCTGAAATAGGAGATGGAATTTTCTTTTGCGCAAAATCGCTGAGAGTAATTTTAAATGTCTTTAAAATGTCTTTAGCAGTCAAAAAACGCCACTAAAATCGATGAATCGTTCAGAGAATTATTTAAATCCCACAAAATTATCCTCAGAAGTACGATTATGAATTTTGAAATTACAGTAAATAGCAAATACAAAAGAGAAAGCTAGAGGTAGAATTTATTTTTCAATTTTTTCAATGAAATTTGAATTCACAAACATTTAATTCGTGAACTAGGAAAATTACGCAATGGAAAGTGTTCATTCTACAATTACCTGGCTTCAATAAACTGTTAAAATCCCCTGAAAGGAGTCTCATAAAATTATCTCAAATTGCAAACGTATTTTTAATTTTTTTAAATAGACTTTGATTCTTTAAGAAATGAAAAATGAATTGGCATCAGATAATTTTCGGATTAAACAATCAAATTGAACAAATGAAAAAATTAAAAAATCATCCTCAGAACTATCATTGTGACCCTTGAAATTATACTAAATGGCAAATACAAAAGAGAAAACTAGAGATAGATTTTTTTTTCAATTTTTTTAATGAAATTTCAATTCACAAACATTTAAATCGTGAACTAGAAAAATGATGCAACGAAAAATTTTCATTCTACAATTACCTGGCTTCAATAAACTGTTAAAATTCCCCGAAATGATTCTCATAAAATTATCTCAAATTGCAAACGTATTTTTAATTTTTTTAAATGGACTTTGGCTCCTTAAAAAACTAAAAATTAATTGCCATCAAGTAATTTTCGGATTGAACAATCAAATTGAATAAATGAATAAATAAAAAAATTATCAGAACTATCATAATGACCCCTGAAATTATACTAAATGGCAAATACCAAAGAGAAAACAAGAGATGGAATTTTCTTTTTCATTTTTCAATAAAATTTGAATTCACAAAAATTTAATTCGTGAAATGCTGCAATAAAAAATGTTCATTCTACAATTACCTGGCTTCAATAAACTGTTAAAACCCCCTGAAATGACTCTCATAACGCTGATTATTTCCTCTAAAATTACCTCAAATTGCAAACGTATTTTAATTTTTCAAAATGGGCTTTGGCTCCTTAAAAAACGAAAAATTGATTTCTCATGAAATAATTTCCGGATTAAATAATTAAATGACTTCGATGATCCCTTGAAACCCTTAAAAATCCCGATATATCCCTCAAAATTACGTAAAATCGCAGCCAGTAATTGTCAATGCCTCACAAAATGTCTTGAGGAATAAAAAAAAAGCGCTAAAGTCGTTTGAAATATAAAATGAGGCCGAAATCCCATGCATTTTCCGTGCACTATTGAGAAAGACAGACTCGTAGATCTCTCTGAACATAGGGAGTTCATAGTAAAAACACGGTACGTTCGAAACGTTTAAATAAATTCGTATCTATGTATACGCGAGCCGATTGCCTTTCTAACCAGCCTCGGAGGCTGGCATGGTGGGTCCATTCTTGGTCCAGGTTGCTGGGACACGCGATTCGCTCCGTCAGGTGTGGGTGACCGGCGGTTTTCTTCGTCTACGGGCGTCACTGTGTCTCCACACGCGATCTTGTACCGGAAATATTCCATCTCCTATCGAGGGAACGATCGAGATCGAGAGAATACTATGTTGAAATTTTTTTAGTTGAAATATTTAAAAAGATGATAACGAAGAAAAAATAATGAGAGGAATTAAATTGCAATACTTTAAATTAATTCAATTGAATGTGAAAAAATTGTACTGTATTTTTCCTTTTGTTCGATTATATTTTCACTAGACTAATAACAAAAAGGAATTCGTCATTATATTGTAAATGAGTAATTGAGACTTTCAATTAGTTAATCAACCGATAATGACAATTGAATATTTCAATTTCTAAATAATTTGAAGGGAATTTTTTTCAGTAATTATCGAGATTATTATGAAAAATGAATTTTTATTATAGTGAAAAATGAATTTTTTTCCTTTTCTCAAGAAATATGTGAGAATATATTTTAGTCGGCTGCCGGACAAATTCGAGAAATAAATCAATTGCAGTATTTTTAATTGATTCAATTGAATATAAAAAATTGTATTGTATTTTTCTTTCTGTTTTTTATGGTTTAATTCAATAATATCAATTTCGATCATATTTTCACTAGACTAATAACAAAAAGGAATTTCAATTCGTTCATCAGCCGATCATTACAACTAAATATTTCAATTTCCAAATAATTCGAACGTAATTTGTTAAATTAATTATCAAGATTACAACGAAAAATGAATTTATGAAATTCAGAGACAATTTTCAACAGTTCTTTCTCCCTTTGCTCAAGAAATATGTGAGAATATATTTCAGTCGGCTGCCGGAAGTCATCTTATCAGCAGGGAATTCAAGAAAAAAAATCAAAAAAGGCCCGATCTGCCCTGGGAAACTCCTGATCCTCTTTGAGAACTTTACGACCTTCGGAGAGTGTGAAATATCGGTCGAAGGAAACCTCTTGGCAATGCAATGCGCGATGGAGGGGGAGGAGACAAAGAAGTTGCAAGGACGTGGAAAACGGTTCGCGGAATTTACACGCACTTCTCCTTCATTTTTTACTTTCATGGAATAATAAAAACTCGACACAAAGGACGTATGAATGGATGAAACGTACAATGAGCGATATTTCCCGCGTTTTCCCCCGGTATTCGATTACCGTCATTGTTGAGACGAAAATCAACTATTTCAAAATCGTCAATAACAAAAAAAAAACGGCAGAGCGAAATTTCCCAATTTTCAAAGTCAAAAAACCGCTAAAATCGATGAATCGTTCAGAGAACTATTTAAATCCCACAAAATAATCCTCAGAAGTACGATTATGACTTTTGAAATTACAGTAAATAGCAAATGCAAAAGAGAAAACTAGAGATAAAATTTTATTTTCAATTTTTCAATGAAATTTGAATTCACAAACATTTAATTCGTGAACTAGGAAAATTATGCAATGAAAAATGTTCATTCTACAATTACCTGGCTTCAATAAACTGTTAAAATCCCCTGAAATGTTTCTCATAAAATTATCTTAAATTGCAAACGCATTTTATTAATTTTTTAAAAGTATACTTTGACGTCACAAAAAATGATAAATGAAAAAATGTCAATAACAAAAAAACGGCAGAGTGAAATTTCCCAATTTTGTTTTCAGTTTCACCGTATTTTGTCAAGCATTAAAATGAGACGTGTCGGATCAAAATCGCATCACTAGTTCGGAAGATATTGCCAATGGAACACAGTCCGTATCAGACCACGCGTCAATTTATAATTTGATTACACGGAAATTGTAGAGAGAATAAAACAAACGAAATTGTAGGATTAAAAAAAATGTTACAATCACGACTGCAATTTCCCCAAGTAAACACGTATGGGTAGTAATGTTTTTTTTCCTCGATTTCTCAGCGTGATAATGACGAGTGTCGTGGCTCCCGCAGCGGCACGAGTCTCTCCCCGGTAATTGAATTCCGCGTCTACCCAACAGACAATTAATGTCTCCAACGGGGCACACCGGTGTGTATGGCCACTGCATTACATCCCGTTACGTGTGGGGCTCGCGGCTCGTTCCGGACGCGGGATCTCGGTGCTTCCTATAATCGCCGGAGACTTTCCTATTCACCGGTGAAAAAGAGGGGCAAGGGCTCTGGTTTCCTTGCACTGGACTTTCTTCGACGCACAGTGTCGCTGGGGTTTCACTTTCCACACTGCTAAAAATTTTTGTCCAATTTTCCGTGCCGAATCCCAGAAGTTTTTAGCGTGTTCCAATTCCACTGATAATTCAGGAAATTTTGTCACTGAAAATTCCGAATTTCGGGGAAAAATCAAAGAGTAT